TTATTATTATTTATTTTATTTATTATTATTTTATTACCATCATCATTATTAGTTATTGCTACCAGCAGTTGTCGTCCTAGTTAGTGGAGGACTGAGGACTCCAGCCCTGGCTATACTGCTTCCTCAGCAAACAGGTGTCTCCATTTTCAGTTCCCCTGAGTTGATGGAAATTGACAAGTTCCAGAAGTGACTTGTTCAACATCACCCCAGGCACCTGTCTACACATCCCAGACCTGTCACTAGAGATTTCTCCTCGGGCCTAGGATTTCTGGGTTCCTTTACTTTGTTTAGTCTGGAACTTTTCTTAATAAGTAAACAGAGTTCTTTCCACACCTTTTTTGTGATTAGAAAACCACCTTAGCTCACCTAGGGACAATACAGTAGAGTGTAAAATCATAGAATCAGGGACCCCTTACAATACAGCTGCTCTATCCTCCTCCAGCAAGAAGGACTGTGGCATCTGCCCACAGTGTCACCTCCTCTCCTTGCAGCAAGAGGGATGACTGTCATAGCACCCTTCTCTAGTAAGGGAAATGGCTGGTCTCCCCAGGGATGGTGGGAAACATCTCAGCCACCTAGAAACCAAAAGAACTGATGAATGATTAATGAGCATTATTCATATTCTTCAATAAATCAAAGTAAATATGCCTGATAGGAAATCATCCCATTACATTGAAGACTAATGCTACTCAAAAGGCAATTCACTTCAACTTAACCAGCATGGACCCACCACCTACTAAGTCACCATTTTTATTCTAGTTCTTTAGAGAGTAGTGAGTGTGTAAAGGGTCAGGGAGGTGGTCCCCTTGAACAAAGTAAGATGAATGTAATAATGGCTAACTTCCAAAACAGGAAACACTACTTTTTTAGTTATGGTGTATGTATGTTGCTTTATCGACTTGCCATCACTATTTGGCTCAAAGTTTCGAAGGTGCCAAGTCCAAGATCAGTGAGAGTAGGTAGTGGTGGGAGGTACAGAGGAGCATTTCGATGACCTGTATGGGGTCAGTAGGTGGTGGCACATCACAACAGGAGTGCATGTCTAAACAAGCAAGTGACTACATCTCAAACAAGAGCAAAGGGGATAGAAGGGCAAAACTTGCTCCTTTTATAACAGCTCCCTCATGACAGCTACCAAGGGGTTACCCCCAATTGGCCTTTGGCCTCCTACTAGGCTATACCACTCAAAATTCCCACCACTTCCTGATAACATCAGGCCAAACTCCCAATGTATGAAACTTTGATGGCATTCAAACCATATTCAAACTATAGCAATAACAAACATATATAATATACATGCTGTTAATTGTTAATAGTTCTAAGCCAATATAAGAAAAAATTGTTTAACTTTCACTATTTTTCATCATAATTCATCACAACTTTGACCTAACATCTTTTCTTTTGTATGAAAATATCCTTCAGGCTGTCTACTTTCACTGTGATATATACAATACAACCTTTAAGCTCTTAAAAGAGACATGGAAGAGTTTTTTATTTTATTTTATTTTATTTTATTTTTTGGTTCTTGTTTCGTATAGGTTTGGGTTTTGTTTTGTTTTTACTAGAACCACTCCTAAAACTAGTGCTATCCAAACATGGTTAGAATCACCATCATTTTTTAAGTGTAAAATGGTCTTATCTTTCTCTGAGATGTACATACAGTTCTGGTCTTTGGAGTTTTACTAGTCTTCAATACTATTAGAAAGTAGTTAATGAAAGTGAGCTAAATAATGCTAGTTTATTTGAAGAGCTAGTCAATGTTGGTGAAATTGAACTGAATTGCCTTTTAACTATCATTAGTCTTCAAAGTACTGGGGTAATTTCCTATCATGCATAACTACATGCAAAGCTTGTAATCAGAGACATATTGGGCAATCCAGTTTTAAACAATGCAATCTTGGAGGATGAATTTTAGGCTATCATTCTCATCTAGAAATGGATTGTCATTCTCCAAGCTTTCTCAGGTCTGAGATGAGCAAATAATAATAATTTAGGCAAATTCAGTTTTTGACTTAACATTGTCTTGATTTATAATTTATAATTCTATGATGATACTACAGCAATATACAATTGGTAGAAACTATACTTTGAGTTTTGTTATGGTGTTAGGGATGAAACTTAGTTCTCCACCACCACATTTATACTTTGCATGTGAATTTTGGTCCTTTCCTGGGGTAGAATTTACATTAAATATTGTCATGATTCTGGGCAACAGCAGGTGGGTGAACCTCTGGCCAGCCAAACACCATGCAGGAAACAGCTGGTTCTACACATTATACTGCTTGCTAAGCTAGGGTGCTTGGTAAATGAGGTATGGGAAATGCCTTTGGCTCATGGTATTTCCAACACATGCTAGATTTCCCAGGCATAGCTCCTTTGTAAGTCAAGGAGCATCTGTTCTTGTAAATGTCCCCATAGAGAAGTATTCGAGCACAGATGATTTGTAAGATCAGCAAGCAGCTGAGGCTCCAGGAAATCTTCTGTACTCAGTAGAGATAGGTCTATTCTCATTGATGACATGAATGATTAAAACAAACAAACAAACAAACAAACAAACAAACAAACAAAAGAAGTGCTTTCACAGCACAGCACAAGCCAGCTAGCAAATTCACTAAGCAAACATTGACCTGATTTTTCTTGAAGACATAGAAGAATAGCTAACTTGTGAGACTCATTACTGAATCCGTGGCTTGTCCCATTTTAGTTCTTTGCCCAAAGCCATCTTTAATGAGTGGTGAAATTAAGGGACTCAGGTATAGTGATCCCACAAAATAGTGCCATCTTTGGTCCATAGCTTGACAGGGCCAGCAGCAATCTCACCCACCTCGGGCAACAGTGACTTTGATCAGATTATATGCAGTTTCTAAACGATCTGAGACTTCCCTCATCACACAAGACAGCCATTCCTCATGTTTTCCTTTCATGGGCCCCCACCCAAAAGTTCTTTGACCCCTTCAACATTCTCACCATCCCAGAAATAAATAATCACCAATGCGCTGTCACTCATATATGCTTTCTTGTTTGCTGCAATAGAAAATGGTTCCAGTAATTTAGCTTGTGCTGAGCATTCTCAGCTGTAAACCTCCCATGCTGAGACAGTTCCACTAACATTCTCAATGTTTGTTTTCAGGGCACATCATTTCTGCCACATTCAAAGGGACTCTTTTATAAACATGCCTGTGAAAAGGTTTGACGCCCAGGCAATTATTTTCACTTAATACAGAGCTGCATTCCACAGCATCTCACTTAATTCCCATTCAAAACCAAGCATGGGCCATTTCCTCAGACCATTAAGTTTTCAAAGAACACCTTTTCTGTGTACTGGTCATGACTGCTTTTATTTTGGTTGCTTACAATGGGATTTTTCTCCGTTAGCATTCTTTGTTTGGAATGTTCTTTGAGGGAAAAAAATGTCTACGCCTGTTTTTATCTTAAAATAATCACTTCTGTTTTTTAAAATGGACAAGTTCGCATTCCTCTTATATTTGCTGTAAGGAAAATGGCAATAAACATATATGGTACAAATGAGTAACCATTTTATTTCAATGTTAAGAACGCATCAGGAAGCTGGGTGGGGAGGCTCACAGACAAAGTGCCCTCCCCATCTCAGTTTGGGGCATGCCTACCTAGAAAAGGCATTGACCCTTTGTTGTCTATGTTTGCTGAAAATCCAAAATTTTTCAGAAAAAAACTTCCTAAGTGTGTAAATGTCAGCAACTCATTCAAAATTTATTGAAATACCAAGTTGGTCAACTCCATTCTAGTGAAACAGAGTGAGCCTGGAAGCTGAGCATCAGCTGTGGGCTGCCCATCTGCAACCTCCGGAGACAGAAAGCACACTCATGATTCATACACTCTCTTTGTTTTGGTCTCTGAGAACAAAGAAAAAAGTATATCAACATATGTCTATGGATGACACACTAATTTAGAGACAGTCTAATTCAGCAATGTGATACACTGAAGGGGGCAACCTTCTCAAAGCCAAGCATGTTGGTGGAAGCTTGGGTATCTATCCCACTTAGTGTTGGCTAATGTGGGATTTCTCAGCTCTAAACATGGAAAATAAAATTCCTCTTTGAGTCTGTCAAATGATTCAAGAAAAATTTACTCCTGTAACATTCAAAGTCCCCCATGAGGGCTTTCCATTCCAGCCTAGGCAGAGTGCTCTGCTATACTGTCTTGTGTTTGCCTCAGTCAGAGCATTTATCAAGATACACTGCTAACTATGAACTAAAGACAGGAACCGTACCATTCACCTGGCTATCCTTGGTATGTGAGGGCAATGTCTCTGTCTGATGTACTTACAGCTCAAAAAAAAAAAAAATGAATAAGGAAGTGATTAATGGAAGAGACTTGCTGGAGGCACAGCATGTACCTGCTCAGTGTCTAGCTTTACACATGTTGCTCATTATGTCTCCCTCCCTTTGCCTTCCTTGTCCTTGCCCTGGCTCCTGCCTCTACCTTCACCCCAAATCAACAGAAATTTCCCAGAGCAGGACACACAGTGCCACCACTCAGGTCTTGTAAAGAGGTCCTTGCAGAATGTTTGAGAAAGTCCTCTTGAAAGGTGACAGAAAATTCAAGATGGAGTCTGCAAAGAAGGCCGGAAGCTTAAGTCAAGGCCTGGTTCACTCTGGCTGCCACTCTTTTTTGTGCTCATTTGCAGACTAGGCCTCTTAGCTGTGGAAAAGTAAAAATAGGTGTGCAGCCAAAGTGAGCTCTGTAGCACTGACTTCTTGTGCATCTGGTCCTATAGCAGAATCAAAGTTTCATGTAGGGTGAGGATGTATGCCACAAGCATCCATGGTGGCTTGAAGAGGTACTCTTCCCCAAAGTGACACAGACCCTTCCTGGAATATTAGGTAGGGAAAAGGCTAAACTAGAGCGTGCATGTGCCCAAACACATTTGTGAACTACCTATTCTGATATAAAGGTCTCCTCCTATTATGTACAATATTAGGAAAATGGCTACAAATAATGCACAAATATTTCTCTTCCAGGAACATGGGTGACATTTGGAGGTCAAATTTCAGATGAGGTAAGCCACTTTCAGCTTCTACAATTCTGATGAAGAAAATGTTCAGTAGGAATATTCTTCCCTTCCCTAATATTTTTTTCTTGGATTTTTTGTGTGTGTGTGTGTGTGTGTGTGTGTGTGTGTGTGTGTGACTGTACTGCCCAGTCATTAGGTAAAAGCTAGCCTAGAATCAGATCTTGGGTGGGGTAACTTTAGGGGGCTGGCAGAAGGCCTTCCAATGGCAGCACTCCCAGTAGCTATGGAAGTCCTTCCTTCCTACAGCAGGACCTGGGTGAACATCAGGAGGCCTTATGACTAGCATCAGGTGGGGAAGTATGGGGGTGTACAGAGGCACAGTCACAGGGCGTATAGCAAAGGACACAGACACTGTTAGGCACCAAGTAAGCAGCAAGTTAGAAGGGAACTAAGTCCCCAGCCAGGGTCTCCAGCCTGCAACCTGCTACGGCCTGATGCACTATGTGGAAGGAAAAATACGAAGATAGCTAGCCTTGTGAGGAGAGGGGCCAACTGTGAGCCAATGCCCACAACTGAATGGCTCAATCCCACCTGTTCTCTAGGGGTAAAATTATAAGCCTATAAAGCAATGAATTCACCTCCCTGTTCTCTCAGACTTCCAGGTGCTCTCAACTTAAAGCAGGTACAAATGGCCACACCATAATATGCTGGATGCTGTAATTATCAAGGCCACTCCAGGAGGGTTTGAAGTCCCTATCCCTGAAGATTTCAACAACATATTGGATAGGTACTTAGCAGGGATATCAACAAACTTAGTAACTCCATAATATGCCTTTTAAATGAAAACCAAGATATATGGTTAATATATATGAGTAATAACTTCTTAAAAATTATTTTAAGAGAGCACATGTAGTGTCCAAACAGCCCTGAATTTGGGGATTTGTTCCATGTTTTCTCATCTGTAATGTAGTTGATGTAGTTTTAACAGTCGGTAACACTAAACCTTGCCCACATTAATTTAGCCAAAAAGAGAGCATTCATTTTGACCTTTAAGGTATAGGAAGAGAGTAACTTTTTCTGCCCTATTCATCCCTTTGCATAAACTTCCTCTTCAGGTAACAAGAATGAAAGAGCTACAAGAATGTTTAAGATTCAAAAATAACAGGGCAAGAGTTCTGTTTCTAGAAATTCTGTGGAAAAGGGAAAGGTGTTCCCAGAATTCTCTGCAACATCTCATTAGTGTGAATATCTCAAAAGACTTTTCTTGGCAACGTAGGCTCATAGGCTATTAGGCCCTTGTTGAGGAAGTGAGACCAGCTTTCCCTGGGAGAAGAAGGTCCCCTCATAGAACCCCCTTCAGTTTTCAGATAAGGAAACTGAAATCTGTGAAGGCCAAATGATTTGTCCAACAGAACACATTCATGGACTGTGTTCACTTTCTATTACTGTGGCAAAAGACCTCAAGCAATCCACTTTTAGGGACCAAAGGTTTATCTTGCCTCCAAGTTTCAGGATTTCCAATCCATATTCTTTTGGCTCTCCTGACTTGATCTGTAGTGAGCTGGTATGTCATGGCTGAGTGTATAATAGAGGACAGTGCACACCAAAAAGAACAGGGAGGCAGGATCTTAGTGACTAAACTTCCTACCACTAGGCCCCACTTCTTAAAGATTCTGCCCTCTCCAAATAATGCTGGGGAACAAACACAGGGGCTTTCATTAGACATTTCAGATTAAAAACTGTATCAAGTCCTAAAGCCAGTTGTTGGTTGGCTTACTCCTTCTCTCTGATCTCTCAGCATTTCCCTCTATATCTGACTCTGGCTTTTTATTATCTAGACCAATTAAGAACTCCTTTTATAGCCAGTCTTAAGACTTAATTCGTTATTTTTCCCGTTATTTTCACATGAAGTCTTCAGATTCTGTGCTTGGGAAGTGTTCCTACTATCAGTCACTCCAAGAGTCCATCCAGAATTGTTCATTTCAAAACTTCTCTGTATCTGAAATATAATTGTTGCATTTCCCAACAATATCCACCAATATGCTTTATGACATACCATAATAATTTTACTGCAAGCACCATAATTTCTAAAACATAGGACAACCAGAAGGAGGAAACCATGTTGGCTCTACTTTCAGCTCAGGATGATGTTGTCCTAGTAGCGGGTGAAAAGCCATAACTGCTGTCTTGTGGGTAATGCTAAAAGCTGTGCACACTACCCTATCCATGGTCCTGAGGGGCTAACTTCGAAACACCAGAATCACGGTCTATCTTAGAAATGCTGATGAAGCAACGTTAGTCCACCATCAAAGAATTTAATGGAAAATCAATTGCAATCCTTGACGTGGGAAGTGGGAATTTTTGAAACTTCTAATACATTAATCAGCAAAGTGAAGACAGACTCCTCCACTGCTTATCACAACACTACTTGACAGCTATAGCTTGGGCTGATTGTTACAGATAAGCATCTATACTCCTGCTTCACTTCTCACTTGCACTGAGCTGCACAGTGGAACTTGGAGCTCTGATCTGTTGCAGCCTGAGCACAGAGGAGCTGTTCCCTAGTGAGTCAGGGGTTTTCTCCCTCCCTCCCCTGTGTTGACTCAGCAGCAGTTCCAAGATGATGCCTATTGTTCCACTGAACTGCCAGTGCCAGGAGCATTACAGCAGTCATGATTGTCTGGCCCATGATTCATCAGCACCTTTGGCTAAGCCTTGAGGAAAGTCACAAGCTTTTAGGTCAAGAGTCATCCAGCTGCCAGAAACTATTGGCTTGCAGAAAGGCGTTGATACAAATGACCCTCTTTGTCATAAAAATTACATGTCACCGAGGATGTTATCAAACAAGGTTTTCCCAGCGGGGTAGGAAACACAGATCTGCACACCTCAGTGTTTGGAAGACGACCAACAACTCCCCCTACACACATACAGAAGAGGGATTTCAGCCTACTTTGTCTGAGGGTAGAAGGATCACCTATGCTTGAGTCTTCTTTCTTTTGCCACTCACTAAGGCTGAGAAAACCAAGAAGTGGTAATGAGATCTCAGAGTGAAAAGTAGATAAAGGGTTTAACATTGCTTCCCAGCTAGGAAGGCATTTCCTCCGGCATTTCTGACTGACCTTTGTATCCTCTTGCAGGTTGCTGAACGGCTGATGACAATTGCCTATGAAAGTGGAGTTAATCTCTTCGACACTGCTGAGGTCTATGCTGCTGGGAAGTAAGTCAGAACCAGTTTCTGTCCCTCACCTGCCACCCATGCAAGCAAGAGGGTGTGCCCAGACACTGCTGTGGCATTGGTGATGAGAGGCTGCTTCTCTTGTACATGTTCTTCCTCAGCCCTCCCCATCTCTAGAGTGTTGAATTCTGGGGCCCTCTTGGTCTACCCAGCCCATTCCTGTAAGAAAAATGAACCAAAAGGGAAACAAACACAAGAAAAAAGTGCCAGAGAAATGGTGGTGGAGATGGATAGGTGTTAGCTGATTAATTGACCTCCTGTCCCTGTGCTGATATTAATGAAAGTCTTGATTCCCACATGATGCCAATATCACAACAACTTTTACAAGAGGGCATTTCAGAGCCTACTCTGAAGACAGCAGACTACAGAGAGACCTCGCTTCCATTGAGGAGTGACTTCTAGCGACTTCCTTTGGACCTGAATGTTGAGTTGGCTCTCTAAACATAGCATGCTAAATCAGAACACATAGCTGATGTTCTGTCAGGCCAGACAAGCAAGCACATGCCACACAACATAACTAGTGTATTTTAGAATCAGTACAGAGCCCTGGTGTCCTGGAATAAATGTGGATGTCTGGCTTCCATCAATAAAGGAAGCAGACATCCCTGCTGGTCTCTCAGGGAAATGTGGAGTATGGCCACAGCAGGCCTGCTGCCCCTGCCTCAGGGAAGTTACAGTTGAGCTGAGGTTTGCCCTGTCCACCCCACATGATCTCAGAGCATTTTTCTTACTTGGGTTCCTCTTTTACAAGGACCTGTGTTTGCTTAAAGACCATCAGAGGACTTGAGTATTCACATCCCCTTGTTGATGATGGGTCCAGGAAAAGAACGTAGCAGTTGTAAGACCTTGCTCCTCTCTACAAACCCTCTTGTCTGGGGCCTTCCTCTGTTGAATCTCGTACAGCCCTTACAGGCTAAGGAAGAGAAAGGAACATAGTAGGTCTGCTAAAGACTCAGTTGTAACTCCTACTGTGAGTGATAGTCATTTGAATCAATGTTGATTGATGGCCACTGTGGAATTGAGATAGGGTCTCATTATGAAGGTTACATGTAACGATGGCCAAACAAGAAGAAATGAAAAAGAGTCCAGTACCATCCAATGTCTATCCATCTGGAGCATGCTCCATAGCTAGTCTGCATCCTGATTTCTTGAAGGCTGTACCCTCTAATAAAAACAACATTTGTTTCCATAAAGTAACAGCTAGCAATGGCATCCATATCTGGCTCATGATGAACAAAGTGCTAACTGCATTCACCTCCCCACTCCAAACTCTGGCAGCCCCACTGATTCTCACACCGGGGCTCTCACTGGGAGGGATATAGAACATTTTAGTTCCAAAATCTTGGTGAATCTTCCTGGGGAAGTTGAAGGGAAGAGAATATTAAGCTATCATCATTGCACCTTTCGACAGGAAGGGTATTTTGTAGTGTCTCCTTATATCTCAATCCTATGGCAAACATTATTCTGTCCTGGGACATTTTCATGTGGACCACTATAACTGCTGGACCTGGGACATTTAAGTGCACATGTAGATTCTTTCTTTTCTTCCAAGATCACCTGGAAACCAATACTTTCTGTCTAAATAGTCTGAGGTCTCTTGTCCTCCTGGCACAACTAAATTCTTCCACCACAATAGATGGAAAAACCTTGACTCTCATTGAACACCACAAAATAGGGTATTTTTATGTGGGACCAAGCTGCCAGATGACTCCTCTGTTTCTTATGTCAGGACCACAGGCGGTCTCCTGCCAGCGCCAGCATTTGGCAGGTGCTTCTGGAATGCCTGGGAGCAGGATTCTGCCGGCACAAGCAGAAACAGTGGAGACTGTGCTACCAGCTGAGAGAGCTTCTATTTTGGGGTTCTGTAGGCACTGAGAGTTTAAAAACGGGATGGCTCTGGTGCTGGGTTGACTCTTGCTTTTCTGAGACACTGCAGTCTAAGACATTGTCTTCTCCCCTTTCAGGGCCGAGGTGATTCTGGGGAACATCATCAAGAAGAAAGGCTGGAGGTACCACATCTACCATAACTACTAGTTTGCCTTTTTAAAGACTTACTGATTTGCATCAGAAAAGCAAAAATAAAATCATAATACTGGAAGAAAAGGCTGCCCCCCCCAAAGCAACCAACACTTGGTAAAGAAATGATCTCCAGTGGTTTGGAAATAAATGAGTTCATTACTTGTACTCCAAATATTACATAGCTGTTGACTACAGTGAGTCATGATGGGGTCTGGCAGAGAAGAGGGACTGTTGTGAGATATTTGTGCGTAAAAGAAAGTGGCTTCTGCATAGGTTTGACTGCACTTGTAATTAGTGAAGAAGCAAGCTGCAGGAAACTATCTAGACACAGATTTATGTTCACCACTCATTTTATTAACAGCTCTCTGTACAAAGAAAGGATGGAGCAAAAAGCCCTTAGGATAATTGCCGAAAGCTGTGTCACCGATACAATTGCCAACATCTGTTCTGGGTGCTTGAAACTCTACTCTCTTGAGTGTTCAGAGAAGTGTCTGCTATCCTTGAGAGCTCCAAGAAATTCAAGGACTGTGTTCACCCATCCCTTTTACCAATTCTGTACACAAAGCAAGTGATAATGAGGGTTGCATGGCACTTGGGGTGTCATGAAACAGCAAAGCAAGACCAACAGCAAGGTGAAGATGCCCTGTTCATGAGTGAGGAGAAGCAGTGGTTTTTCCCTCAGTGGGCATTGATTCATCCTCCTTAATTTCAGGGCACATCATACATACCTTGTGGAAAATAGATTAGTATGAATATTTCACAAGTCACCTTTCAGCCTTGCAGGTAACAGACCAAGCTAGTACTACACTATGAAAAGTTTATACGGCTCACATTTGCCTCCAGGAGGACATTGGAGAAAAGATAAACAAACCCTCCTAGCATGTTCAACTAGCTGACTTAGCTCCTTGTCCTTGAGTCGTTAGTTGCTAACATCATTGTCCATAGAAAGCAATTTCACTTCTCTGAGCCTTGATTGTCATAAATGTAAAATGGCTGCTGAGGTGCCTTGCTGACCGAATGAGAAGGAAGCAAAGCCTTCAGGAGATTGCACCATCTTGCTGTATTACACTCACAAGATCATTCTCCACCACCCAGAACAGTTACTCTGAGAGCCTCTATGGTTCAGGGATAATTTGCCAGGCTTCGGTCTAATCTTACCACCTGAGCATAAATACTAGCGTGCACACCCACATGGGCAGACAGTTTTGTAGAGAATCTAACTTTAGTATTTTGGATAGAATGTGCAGCTTTAGCATAGTATTTGCTCTGAATAATCAAAGAGGCTTATGTTTATTTCTTAATAACATTCCTAACATCTTTATTTTTTTAAAAAGATAGAAAGTGTTTGCTAAAGGAGATCTGGCTCCCCAGTACAGATTCTTATTATCATAGGTAGTGGAAGGTTGTTGTGTTAATGTGAAAAATTTGTAGCCCTTTTGGCATATGCAATCCCCAGGGCCTTATATCCACAGATCTTCCATTTCTGTAACTCAAATTACGCTTCTGGGAATTAACTTAGTGGGATGGAGAGGCTGACATTTTCAAAAAAATTTTTTTTTCGTTTTGATAAAAAGTTGCCAGAATTGTTCCCATTATTCCCCACTGGTCACCATTAATCACGGAGGCCTTGTATGCCCGAGAGCTTTAAGGTATGGACTCTGTAGCTAACTGAATTATAAATGTCCTGTATTTCAAATGTTTCTGAAGTTTGGTCTCAAAAGATTTTATTCTAAACCAAAGTGCACTGAGCTCTCTGCCTCACAAATTTAGATTATATCCCTTTAGTTCTCAAAGGACATTTCTTCATGATCACTACACTACAGCATTTGCTGCCCTTGAGTGGGGCTTTTGAGTAACCAGTTCCATGTTTCATCCCTTTGCAGTAAAGTGGTAGGACATTTGGTAAAGGATTTAAAGCATTTACTAAGTATGAGGCTTTAGCTCATCATTCCTGTTTCTACACAGTCACTTCCCATTGCCCAAGAGTGTGATGATTGACTAAGATAATAACTTCAGAGCCACTTGGGCCCATGGTCCTTGGCAGAGAGGACGCTTCCTCCCAGGAAAGGTTCACAGGAAATCAACATCATGCCAGATTCTAAATAAGTGTTAATTAGTGACTGCTCTTCTGAGCTACCTGTAGGTCACCTACATTCTCAGGCACTATCTCTGACCTCCAAGACTGCCTCCCACCCAGTACACATTGCAACATCATTCACAAGCATGCTGGGCAGCCCTCTTCCTGCAGGGTCTCTTGAAAAAACTGCTTCCCTCCAGTCCCTTCTAGTGTCTGACTTCAAGTCACTACTCACCGGTCTCTCTTGTTCTTACATTTCGGGGCTGTGCATTCAGAACTCCATTTCCACCTTCTTTTATAATGTGAGGTACTACCACAAATTCCTCCTTGTGCTTTAATAATGATTCAATCAATCAACAACCCACAATGATCTACTATTTCTTTTTATCTGTTTGGTGTATAGGAGGTCCAGCTTGGTCATCACAACCAAACTCTACTGGGGTGGAAAGTAAGTTAAACACCTTTTATTATTTTATTTTCCTTAGAGATTAGAAATGACTAGAAATTTGTGCCTTTTCCTTTTTATTGTTTTAACAATCATTTTTACATTTAACTCATATTAAAATCAACTAGCTTACAGGGTTTTTTTTTTCTTGTACTAAAGAAATTGTAATTAACCTAAGACTACACTTTAGCAGAGTATTCTCAAAGAAATTTAGTGCATAGCAGCTGCCACTTGTTACTACTAAATGACTGGTGTAGATTTTTCAGTGTCATACTTAGAACCATTTCCAAAAAAGAGTTCAAAATTTAGGAAAAGACAGTAAACCATCACAAAAGAAAAGCTCCTCAAATCTGCCCAAACTCAAGATTTTCATGGAATGAAAAGATAAAAATACCCTGTTAGCCTCCAGGTTCAAGTCTCTGATCATTTCTGTAGAGGGTTCTGAGAGTGCTGATCAAAAAGACCATCTCATTGGGGGATAAAGGACACTATCCCCATGTCACTCACCGGCAGGACAAATGAAAGAGAAGCCCTCTCGGTGTTGTTGGATGCAGAACAAACCACCAGCTGCGTTGGCTTCTGATGAAGCAGCCTGTTAGTGTTTGAACTGCTGCTTACATTATTCAGCAAGAACCAGGGAGCTGGTGGCTTCTGCCAAACATGTAAGAAAACAGCAAGCTAGTCCTTATACCAGAGCAATGTTTGGCCTGTACTTCTTGTAGAAATCTCAAAGATGCCAGAATCTTAACAACAATGACAACAAACCAGAAACATGCAAAACCTTACTGACCACCCTGAAATAGGTAGAGAGAAAAAGGAAAGTAGCTGTTTCTCTTTTGTTATTGCTGTTGTTATCCGTTTGTATTTTAAAGTAGGAGGCCCAGGCTAGTTATTTAGGAAGATCCTAATCACAATGCATATGTATACATACACACATGCTCACACTGTTATGATCCTTGAGCTTGCTAATGATATGAAGACATAAAGATGTAATCTAGAATTTTATTCTGATTGTCCTCTTTTTAGATAATACAGTATCTATCATACAGGTGCCCATTTTTTGTAATTTGACTTATGTTTGCAATGGTACATGAACCTTACCTTGAGGGTGAAAATAATCCAGAAATGAGACCAGCTGCAAGAGCCACTATGTAGCAGAGCTAAACACAATATTAACTGATGTACTTGCAAAAGACTCAGAATAGATACATTAAACAGGTGAATGGTGGCATACATGTTTGTAGAATAAGCTGTCCAAACTATTGATGTTGAAGGAATAGCTCATTAAGACTTAACTCAGCCACCATGTCCTTTCTGCTTGCCCAGACTTTAGGGGTTTTCTGGAGTAACAGAAGCTCTGCCATTAAACAAGACAAGCCTTACATGCTAATTTAAGGAAAGCTTGTTGTATCTTTTTGTAAAAATCATTGTTATTTTCATTGTCAAAAGATGCTTTCAAATTTGCTTTATCCAAAAATTTAGTGTCAGTGGTGTCCCCACCATAGAGTAAACCTATGAACTTATGCCAAGACTGTTTTTCTTTTCTAGATTGGCTAGGAACAAGCCTAGAAGATTGAGCTGTGTGTTGTGTTTTCTAAGGCATGGATAAGGACAGCTGACTGGTAGCTTAGCCTAGAGCTGAGTGATACCAATAGCCTGACCATATCTATTAGGTTTTCCACACTTGGGGTGCTGCCCTCCAGCTTTCTCTATAGCCAGTAGTGCAGGACTGGCTGAAAGCATGGTAAAAACTTAGCAGTGTAGACAAAGAAAGAATGATTATGAGCCCTCACTGATTCTTCCTGGACATCCCATTGCTGCCCTGTGTCATGGAGATCCTGCAGCCCTGGGTCTGCAAGACCGACACACACACATACCCCACACATACCCAGGACATGTGCCCCTTGTACTCCAGCAGATCACAGATTGGGTGGATGTTGGGGTGGGTCAACCCTGGTTCTGGACCTGGGTAGTTGCATAGTTGGTCAGCATGCCATCTCTCCACTGTCTTCACCACCAGGGCGTGTTCTCCAGCAACACCCTGGCTAGTTCACTCCTTGCAACGATGAGCAAGAAGCGGAATCAGTTCTCTGGCTTTCACATCCACAGTACTACTGTGTTGCCCAGGCAAGGTGTAGGGGCCACTCTCCCAAGTGTTGCAGCTGATGAGGGGCAGGGTCAACTCCCTTGCCCACCACAGCTGGCAGGGCCTCTGGGGGTAGCAGAAACCAGGGCCCTCGAGCCAGACAAATGATTCTTTACAATGCATGCCTACATGTAAAATTGTAAGGACAAAGGGGTTTACTGCGAGACTCACTGGGTCCCTCTACAGCTTCCATGACAAATTCTTTCTTCCCCTTTCGCTTCCCCCCCCCCTTTTTTTTCTCTGAAGTTTTATTTTGTTTTATCTGAGGGGGGAGAGGGGTGGGATTGGGAGGCATAATGTGAAAGGCACAAAGAATAAATAAAAAGAAAGTTAAAAAAGAAAGAATTATTATTCTGCATTTTGAAACAGATTTTTTAGAAAATAAAACAGCATTCCCCAGCCAAAGTCATCTATCTCTTTTTTGTTGCAGAGCTGAAACAGAAAGAGGGTTGTCAAGAAAGCACATCATTGAAGGTATGTAATTACATTTCCATTTCATTTTAGTTTGTGTGCTCCTGTTTCAAGTAAGGGATTGCTAAAATAGGTTCAAAATGCATTGGAAAGGGAGAAAATTGTTGATGAAAAGAGTGACCATCAAGCAAGTTTCTTCCTGGGGCAGATCTCAAGGAACATGGAGATGCAGGAAGACTTAGGACCCAAAAGGGAAAGGTGAGTCTAGAGCTCTTCTCATGTGCAGCCACTGGTGCTATAGTGAGCACCACATAAGGCTAAAGAGAGCCTTCCTGAGCTGTGATATACATAACCATAAAAAGGTACTAAAAATGCATAATTCCTTGGTTCTAAGAATAATTTCAGAGTTGCGTGATAATCATTATAACCAATATTAAAACATTTCCATCAACTCCAAAAGTCACTTTGTATTCATTAGGAGTCACTTACCAAGACTAGAGAGATGGCTCAGTGGTTGGGCACTTCCTGCTCTTACAGAGGAGCAGAGTTTGATTGCTAGCACGGATCCAGTGCCACCTTCTGGTGTCTGCAGACACCTACACACATAAAAGTACAAACACATCTTTAGAAAGAAAAACAGAAGTCACTTACCATCCCAATCTTACCAGCCTTTTCCACATTGCCAAGAAACTACTAACCTACCTTTTGTCTCTCAACACTTGGCCCTTCTGCAACTCCGTATAAATGCAATCACATAATTAATGGTACATTGTAACTGGCTTCTTTCACTAGGTACAATGTTCATCCATGATACAATATGCAACAGGACTTCACTTTTCTCTTTTTTCCAAATAATATTCCACCATGTGGATAAGCTAAAATTTAGTTATTCTTATATCAGCTAATGTACATTGGAATTGTTCTCTCTTTGGGGTTCTTATAGATATTTATATAAATAATCCTGTTTTGATTTGGGCACATGTTGACACTACTATACTTCAAAAAAAAAAAAAAACAACTCTGTGTGTTGCCTGACAGTGGTGGTACATGCTTTAATCCCAGCACTCAGGAGGCAGAGGGAGCCAAATCTCTGAGTTTGAGGCCAGCCTCAAACAGAGTAAGTTCCAGGATAGTCAGGGCTATACAAAGAAACCCTGTCTCAGGAAAAACAAAAACAACAAACCACTCTGTGTGTATTGGTGTGTGTGTGTGTGTGTGTGTGTGTGTGAGAGAGAGAGAGAGAGAGAGAGAGAGAGAGAGAAATAGTTTTCTACCCCTAGATAAATTAACAGTGCTATGTTTTTCCTCATGTTACTCAAAATTCTATATAGATTAGAAATAAACAGGAAATAAAACAGTTGGCAAGAGTCATTATGTAGCAGGGTACAGCTAGTTTATTGCAAGGGCTGAGTTTTGAGTGTTTTTTTATTTCTTTCTTGCTTGCCTGTACATAAATAATTTTACATGTGTATATTTTGCTACATTGAGGGGATCCTAAAGGTACTATAATTTATTTTCAATATTTTTTATAAAAAGCTCATGGACAAATTCATAGAAATTCTAAGATTTTTTTTGGCCATACATGATATTATATGCTTGTAATCTCAAATACTCAGGAAGCTGAGGCAGGAGGCCTATTTGGTCTACAGTATGAGTGAGGGCTGGCTTGGGAAACTTGGTGAGATCTTGTCTCATACATGAAATAGAAGACGGGTTGGGCTTGACGCCCAGAGGTATGGTGCTTGCCTAGCAGCTAGCAGGGGCAAGGCCTGGGTTCAATCCTAGTGCTCGGGCACACACACACACACACACACACACACACACACTAGCCCATTTCATTCTTCCCTCCATTTTGACAGTTCTTCACAGCCTTTCCCTTCTGTTGCTTATCGGGCTATCTGTATACCCACCTAAATGAGTTCATCTTCCAGTCTTCAGAAGCTCCCCACACATACACACACTAAATGACAATTAATACAGAGATCTACAATTGCTCAGTGTGCAGAGAATGAGAGATAATGGCATGCTCAACTCTCAATGGGACATCTATGTCATACCCCCTCCTCCCAAGGCTCAAGGGTCAGTGAGGAAGAGAGGTTGGAAAGATTTTAAGAACCAGAAATAGGGAACACCTGCACTGAAACATTTGCTGGGCATGGTAGGGTATTTGTACACATGAATTCCCAGTGGCTGTGACAGCATGCACAAGACCTGCATGATACCAAGACAGCCCAAACTCCTGGCACCGATGGGGGGGCGGGAGCCCGTGAAATCCCACCCCTAGCTGAGAGGCTACTAGGAATTGATGATTGCTAAGGTAGCAATAGTCCGTTTTCAAGGATGCAGTCCCAGAATGGCTACCCATGCTCCAGTAGATGGTCCTAGACCCAAGCTCATGCAAATGGTATTAAGTGAATTCAATGGGTTTTTTCAATATGCTTAGAATTCATATATATAATATATATATATATTCCATTTTTATTTAAATTAGAAACAAGATTGTTTTACATGTCACTCCCAGTTCCCTAATCCTCCCCTCCTCCCCTGCCCCCCCCCACTAAGATCCTACCTATCCCATACTGCTCCCCAGGGAGGGTGAGGCCTTCCATAGGGGGTTCTTTAGAGTCTATCATATCATTTAGGATAGGGCCTAAGCCCTCCCCCGTGTGTCTAGGCTCAGGCCCTCCCTCTATGTGGAATGGGCTCCCAAAGTCCATTCCTATGCTAGGGATAAGTACTGATCTACTACAAAAGGCCAAATATATTTCCAAGGTCTCCTCACTGACACCCACATTCATGGGGTCTGGATCAGTCCTGTGATGGTTTCCCAGCTATTGGTCTCGGGAACAAGAGTTTCCCCTTGTTCAGGTCAGCTGTTTCTGTGGGTTTCACCAGCCTAGTATGGACCCCTTTGCTCATTACTCCTCCTTCTCTACAACTGGATTCCAGGAGTTCAGTTCAGTGTTTAGCTGTGGGTGTTGCTTCTACTTCCACCAGCTGCTGGATGAAGGCTATAGGATGGCATATAAGACAGTCATCAATCTTATTATCAGGGGAGGGCATTTTAAGGTAGATTCTCCTCTGTTGCTTAGATTGTTAGTTGGTGTCATCCTTGTAGATCTCCAGACCTTTCCCTAGTGCCTGATTTCTCTTTAAACCTATAATGGCTCCCTCTATTATGGTATCTTTTATCTTGCTCTCCTCTATTCTTCCCCCAACTCAACCTTCCTGCTCCCTTATATCCTCCTCACCCTTCCTTGTCTCCTCTTCTCATTCTCCTAGCTCCCTCTCCCCTCCCCCCATGCTCCCAATTTGCTCAGGAGATCTTGTCCTTTTTCCCTTCCCTGGGGGACCATGTATGTCTCTCTTAGAGTCCTTCTCTGTCGGTGTGGACTGTAGGCTGGTAGAGAAAGGCAAACACTCAATGGGTTTTTTAAGAGAGCACATGAAGTTAGAAGGGGAAAGTAACTGGGGCATAGGGAATTAGAGGGGAAGGATTGGAAGATAAGATTTGATTAAAATACATTATACACATGCATGAATATGAAAATACAAAATAGTTGAGTCAATTTGTAAATATTAACCTAGACTTCATTTTTCTCAACTAAAATATATTTTACACACAACTTATTGGATATTTTCAGTTTTTGATATGACAAAGAATTATATAAGTAATCGTCTTTCTATAAATGGAATAGATTCTAAGAGCTTTTTCAAGTCAAAGAATGAGGTATATTTAACATAATTATTTACTTAAAAGAGCATGTGTCTAATGAAGTAATTTTATTTGTTTACTCATTTATTAGTGAATCCAAACTTCTTTTTGTGACTTTATGCCTTATTTTTTTCTTTCTGAGAATTAGCATTTGTGTTTTTAAGCTATTTTTCTTTGGAGATGTGTGGTTTGGTATTCTCAATTTCAGGAGCTCTTTGTAAACTGCTATTTACTCTTTTTTGTTTCTGTGTTGCAAGTATTTCCCCAGGTGGTTGTTTCAACTTGAGCTTTTTCTGTCCACACCAACCTTATCTAAAAGATAATGGTTAACTTTAGGATATTTCTTCCAATTGGATGTTGGAGATCTTCCTTGAGATATGAATATTCATATTACTGGGAAGTATGTCAGACTAAAAAAAAAAGGTAGTTCAGATACTCAATTATTTCATTTTTATTATTATTACATTGTATTTTATTGGGTACAGAAAGGAGTGGGGTGCCAAGTCTCCAGTGTGGAGATCAGAAGATAATTTGCAGGAATCAGTTCTCTCCTTCCATGGTAGTGGTCCCAGTGAGCAAACTTGATTCTTTACCTGCTAACAGGAGTCTGTACCTATTAGCAACACACAAGCCCTCAATTACTTAATCTCTCTGTCTCTCTCTGTCTGTCTCTGTCTATGTCTCTCTCTCTGTCTCTCTCTCTCTCTCTCTCTCTGTCTCTCTCTCTCCTCTATCCTCCACACACTTTTACCATGATGTTTATTATATCATTTCACTGTTTCTAAAGTTTTATCTGAGGTTTGTATTTCTCACTTCTTGGTATTTATTTCAGTGCACATGAGCTGCACGATTAAGTTCTGACTGCTACATATGAACTGAGAAACTACAGGTTACTTAAACCTGTCTCCTTGACTATAACACAGGTTACAAGTATTCCTACATTATAGGACTTCAATATGGGGGGTGAAACTCATTAATTCATGTGAAGTGTAATGACCATCACATAATGAACACAGTGTCATGTTGTTATGATAATCAGCATTGTCTTATGAGCACAACTGCTTTGTGGAGGACATTCTGTCCTGACCTTTGGCATCCTGGGGCTGCCATGATGAATGGACACTCCTACCCTACAGAAAGCTTCCAACTTTCTCTTCTAAACACAATCCCTGCTAAGGCTTAGATACAATTGGATACTGAAGTCAGGCCCAGCCTGCCCTTCCCAACCACCACCATCCCTGTTCTTACACAGCCCAGTATGTGTGTCTTCTACCGTGGGGCTGTCAATACCCAACAACCCAGGTGCCCAGGAAGTCCAGCTGGCCAAGAAGGGCAGTGTGCTGCCCCC